ATGTTCACCTTGGTTAGAGCACTGGCCTCCACTTAGAGGGTGAAAATGGCAGGGGGTATACTGAGAGTTGTGTAGGAAACTGGCAGACCAGAACTTCAACCCAGATGGGGTTTCAATGAAACAGGTTAAAGGCCAGCAAGAAAGCTACAAAAGCCCTCTAGCTGCCCTGGTACTTGAGAATGAAGAGTCACAGACATAAATTTAAGCACAATTTCCCCTACTACCATTCATTTTGCTGACAGGGGAAATAACACAGAACAGCCTTTTCACTAAGTTAGTGACTTTACTCCTTAACTCCAAGGCCAAGTTCATTTAGAATGTCACTATATGTGACTAAAATAAAGAATGGTGCCCTGCCCTAACCGGTTTGGGTCAGTGGATAGAGCATCGGCCTGCAGACTGAAAGGTCCCAGGTTCGATTCTGGTCAAGGGCATATACCTTGGTTGCAGGCACATCCCCAGTGGGGGGTGTGCAGGAGGCAGCTGATGGATGTTTCTCTCTCATTGATGTTTCTAACTCTCTATCCCTCTCCCTTCCTCTCTGTAAAAAATCAGTAAAATATATTTTTTAAAAAAGAATGGTGAAGCTACCGACTTGTCTTTGCTCTAAAAAATGCCACCTGAAATAAAGATTATTTATTCATCAAAAAAATAAATCACTGAGGAAGAAGTGCTAGGGAGAGACTGTGGGCCCTGCACCAGGTGGGCACCGAGTCTGAAACCCAATGGGAAGATACAGGCCTGCATGTAGAAAAGCGTTAAAGAAGAGAACGGATAAACTATACCGCAGTTCAGGAAAGAGAGACTGAGACTCTCCTTTTGAAAATGTCTGAATACATATAATTTAATGTTCCTTTAATGTTCTCCAAGGACTACAATAGAACATTTGCCAGTTTAGATGGCTGCAATAACCATTTTAAATTTAATCAAAATGTACGGAGCATATACTCTGTGCCTAGAACCAAAAAAGGAAGAAGTTAATTTGATAACCAAATAGATTTTTAAAAAAGAAAGAAAGAAAAGAAAATTTCAGAACGAAGAGTTGGGGGCATCGTTTGAGCTATTGGACCACAGATGAGGGTTCAGGATATGTAGATGCCAATGAGAAATATACAGGTCTTAATGCCATTTAATGAATCAATAAAATATTTTCTTTAAAACAAAAACACAGGCAAGCTAGAGAAGAAGAAAGGAGGGAGGGAGGAAGAGGGGGAAAAGGAGGTCTCATTACTTAATTCCTTTGTGCTAGGTTCTGTTTTAGCTCATGCTTATAGCCATATATTGATAATCCTTTTGAATATAATTAAAGCAAAACAGAATGTACCAAGCACTTTAAATAGCAAATAACTACCATCTGTTTGGCTGAAAAGAAAGCCCACAGATACCTCTTACTTTTTTCTTACTTTTTTATTCAGCAAACAGAATTTTGCAGTAAGTGGAATAAACAGTCTCAGGTATCCAGGTCCCTACTTACTAACTCACACTGCCTGGCCCCCTTCATGGCTCCATTAGTCCTCCCAAAGTCCAAAGATTTGGTAACCAAATCTTGCTGTTTGGAGATCACCCCTGACTTCACAGGATGATCGGAAGTGCAATGAAACCCTAGAGAGTATTTCGCTCTGCTGGAGAGTGAGAGGCTAGGCTGGCATCTGGGAGACGCTGGGTATGCTGATCAGCAGCATGGAAACCACACGCCCAGCAGGTTCCTGCGGAGAGAGCTAAGGGGTGACCCTCCAATGACACACCGAGAACCTGGCTTGGAGTCCAGCCCTAGCACTGAACGGGCAACATTCCCTCTAAACTCAGTTTCTTTTGCTACTAAAATGAGATAATCCTGTGGATCCAAGGAAATACAACATATGACACCTTTTTAAAAACACAAGTACCATGGGAGAAAATAGTACTGTTACTATTGTTATAGCTACGATATAGCCATAGTACATTTTCCCTGATAACGTAGCAGTCTCTTATCTAAAAACACTAAATCTCTACATACAATATTTTAACATTTCATGACTGGCGTTTGGAGGTGAGGGGCCTCAAACCCCACCTGCACTGTTCCCTGGGTGTTGGCCAGCTGCACTGGTTTGGGAAACTCAGCCCTGATTCCTAGTCCCATTGACAGGGACTCAAGGCACTGACACAAACAACCATGAATCATTCAGTCACCAATGAATGCCATCGTCCACTTGAATTTTATTATGTTCTGTGCAAAGGTGGTTGGTTTTCTCCCATACGCATATCTTATGGGAAAATTACTTTGCTAAGTTATTGCAAAAAAAATCATGACTGTGTCTTTAGATTACTTTGGTTTTAAACTACATATTTTTGTTTGTTTATGGTCTTATACATATACACAAAAAGAACATTTGCATGCCATTTTCCTCCAACAAGGACCTTAATGGAAAGAGCAAGGACAGCAGTCTGCAGACTGACTCTGATTAAACTGACTCCATTCTATTGCCTGAATGCCTTATTTATGCGTAGACCACTGATTTTTAAGGCAGTACAAGTGCTTTTCTCTCTCACCACAGAGCAGCTACAATGCAAATGCTTTTCTTCTCTCTCAGTCTATCTCAAAAATAGCATTATTCGGCACAGTCTTAACAGCTGGTCTTCAGGCAAGAAGTCAATGTTCCCTTCATGGTTTCTTGACTCCTGCAGGAAAAGTAGAGAACGATTCCGATGCTTTGGTCTAAGAACCATCTTGGTGACATTTCTTATTGGCTCTTCCAGAAGCTTAAGTTACCAGGAAGTATTATTATTGCTCCCTCAGGAAATGACTGACCTTCAGAAGCCTAAAATAAGAGAACACATTTACTCTATCAACATAACTAGAGAGGAATTTCCCCCGTGAGTACAAATAAAGTAACTACAGAGATGTTTCTCTTCAATATAGATATAAACGATCATTAACCAGGTGATCTGTTCAATAAATAAATGTTTAACATCGGCCCTTGACTAAAGATGGGAGGCATAAATCTCCCCAAGAAGTTAATTCGTGTAGCTGACTCATTCAAAGATAAATAAGCTTTGTCTAAAAGAATGCCATGCAAATGATTACAATAAGCATGACAGGTACAAGGGGTACATTCCTGAAGTATTGACACAGAACAGACAATAATCTATTCTGCTTGGGAGATTAGCCAGGAACTATTTCATAGAGACACAGCTGGAGGCATTCCACAGGGAATCAGGATGCGCAAAGACATGGAAGGCCATGGTAACACAGAACGTTAAGGAACTACCCACTAAAGCAGTGGTTCTCAACCTTGGCTGCACATTAGAATCACCTGGGAATCTTTTTAAAATCCTGATTTCTGGGCCTCATCCTCCGGAAATTCTGTTTCTTTGTTATGGGGTGGGGACAAGAGAATAGATGAGTAGGCGTGAAGAGGAGAGGGGTGATGGATATGACTCTGAAAGATACCACTTAATGGGCACCTGTAATAAGTAGAACTAATTGAGAGATGGAGAAGGAACTCCTGGATACCAGAAATCAGAGGTACTCCTAAAGGCACACTAGTCTCTTACATATCTCCACTTAGATATCCAATCTCTACATTCAACTCATTATCATCTATCCAACATGCTTCTCTCCATTCTCAATCATAATCCACATCATCAGCATCCACACTTGTCATCCAGGCCAAGTGCTTGGGACTCATCCATCCACCCTCTTCCTCTGTCTTCAGGCTCCAAATCAGTCACCTGGTCCTGTTGATTCTACCTTCTTCACATCCCTTAAATGCATCCTCTCTTTACTTCAGTCACCACTCCAGGTGCCACCAACTCTCATCTAGATTAATAACAATCTCCCAATTCATTTCCCCGCATCCAATTTGAACAGCCTCCAATCCAACTGCAACAGTAACAAAAGTCCCATCACATCATCTCCAGACTCTGAATCACTAAATGACTCCTCATTATCTTTAGCATGAAATCCAAACTGAAAACAAAGCAGAAAAGAAGTCCCTCCCTCTGGTGGCAGTCTCTGCACTCTCGAGTTCGG